TATTGGGCGTGTCCACTCGTACCATCTGCAGAAGAATGGGAGAGTCTCCCTTCTCTGTTAGAGCCCTCTACAGCACCTGTTCTGACTCAGAGCTAGACCTATTGATATGTGACATAAAAAAAGATATGCCTCATGCTGGGTATCGGTTGGTTAAGGGAGCATTGCAGGCTAGAGGGTTCCGAGTCCAGTGGGAAAGGGTGCGGGCCTCCATGCACCGAATAGATACTGTTGGCATCCTGTGCAGGATGACCCAGCTAGGATGTGGTGTGCGGCGCACCTACTCAGTTCCTGCTCCAAAATCTCTGATGCACATCGACACCAACCACAAACTTGTTCGGTGTGTATCTTTTAATTTGTTACAAAGAGTGCAATTCAATTTTGGTTTTTACCTGCTCTGTTTGAAAGATGTTATGAGACCGACTGTCCTGCATGTTTTAGCTGTTTTCCTGCCTCTAAACACCTGTGTTAAATAAATTAATAATACATTTAATTTATACTGCACTTTCCATCGAAAGATCTCAAAGTACTACAGGTAAAAATGAAAGAAGCATAAAAAATAATTATTAAAAAGCTATTTTATAATAGAGAAAAAAAAAATCTAAAGGGGACCAAAAGCTTTGCTAAAAAGAAATGTTTTAAGGTCTTTTTTAAAACACTCAGTGGATTTAGGTGACCACAAATTGGTGACAAGCAGGTCTCTGCAGCCCTTGATAGCTGTTAAGGTGATGCAATCTTTTGATTCAAGTAGGGTGGAGCACAAATCCGTCTAAAAAGTCTAGGATTTAAACCACTGTCTTTTAGGTACACAATTTATCACTGAACAGATACATTCATCCACAGAACACAAAAAGAAGTCAGGTCCAGTCATTTTTTTTCCACCTTTAGCTCCATGCATTAAAATTGAAGTATATTCAGTAAGTTGTAGCAACATAATTATGGCCCTTTTTTTGCTCTTCATCTTTGTTGCAGGGACTCTGCGTGCCTCACATTGACTGGGAAGACAGTGGACTACTTGATGACCCTCATTACGGGGTCACTATTCCAGAATCTGGCAACGTGTTGAACCCCGAACAAATTGTGGCACTGAGGGCAGCCATAGATCCAATGGGACCTTCTGACTCACATGGCTACGACATATATGTTGCTACGGTCCAGTATGTCCAACACTTAACAAGTTTGATCTGATTGTGGTTGTGCAAATATGGTGGGACAATTAAGCAGTCCTTTGTTTTCCACATTGTAAAATAAAAATACACTCTGATAAAGTCTGTATTTTCAATTCTTACCAATATTAATCAAAGTGAATACACCGTTTCCACAAGGCTTGTTTTTATTGTTCATATTAAGACAGAACTTCTACAGGCTTTTTCCATAAAACTGTCTGAAACGGATGAAGCCAATAACCGGATATGAAAAATGTCTACACGCAAGACAG